TTTTTTTTTTTGGTTTTTCGAGACAGGGTTTCTCTGTATTGTGTTTTGGAGCCTGTCCTGGAACTCACTCGGTAGACCAGGCTGGCCTGGAACTCACAGAGATCCGCCTGCCTCTGCCTCCCAAGTGCTGGGATTAAAGGCGTGTGCCACCAACGCCCGGCACCAAGTGTTGTTTTAATAAGATTTATTTATTTATTTAGTAGAATCAAGGTCTTCTTCTAAGAGCTGTATTATAGTCCTGTGTCACTATGCCCAGTATTCTTTGTTGTTTGTTTGTTTGTGGTTTTATTTTTGAGACAGGTTTCTCTCTATGTCAGCAGTTCTCAACCTTTGGATCTCGAACCCTTTGGGGGTTTCATATCAGATACCCTGCATATCAGATATTTACATTACTATTCATAACAATAGCAACATTACAATTATGAGTAGAAACCAAATAATTTTATGGTTGGGGGTCACCACAATGTGAGGAACTGTATTGAAGGGTCACAGGTTGAGAACCACTGCTCTATGTAGTCCTAGTTATCTGGAACTTGCTCTGTAAACCAGGCTGGCCTCAAACCCACAGAGATCCACTTGTTTCTGCCTCCAGAGTACTGGGATTTAAAGGTGTGCACCACGGCACCCAGCTCCATGCCCAGTTTTACGGAGTGCCAAGGATTGAACCCATGACCTTGTATATGCTACGAAAGCACTATAATAAATGAACTATATACCCAGCTGTTTCAGCTCCTGGCAGCAAGGCTTCAGATCTTAAACATGCTAGCCATGTCTTAAGGACACATGTTTTACCTCATGCTTTACTGCCTTTCCCAAAGTCATTTAGATTTCCACCCTAGCTGTACAGTCTGTAACCTTGCTTGGGTAAATTCACCCATAAAAGGGAGCTGAACTGTGATATTTAAAGAGTCAGACTTAATTGTCTGTGGTTTCTTGCATTAAATGATTGACCCCTCCAGGCCCCTCTCAGGTGTGGAAATTTTCACAGCCCTAATGGGGATGGGAAGATGAAAAAAGGAGGGAGGAGAGAGGGGGAGAGGGAGGGAAATGTATCCAGTTTCTGGTAGGCAGAGTATAATGATGGAGCTGAGTAACAAGACTGCACAATCCACAAAATCAAAGACACTGCCCCCTGGCGTGCCACACCCAGCATCCAGCCTCGGGAAGCCGCGCAGCCAAGGAAGCCCCAATTCAGTGCTACTTCACCTTTGCAGGTTCTGAGAGGCTTCTACCCCAGAAAGGGACCATATATGGTCAACCAATAGCTCCTGGGGCACTCCCTGTGCAACCCCTCTCGGCCCCGCTGACTACAGGGACCATTAGATCCAGTCAGCCCCTTTCTCAAGGAGTTTACAGTCTCCAGGGGGAGACAGACACGTAAACAGCTAATGCTAATGCAAGCGCACATGAATATTCAATAGGTGGTAACAGCCTTCAAGCTCTGGAAGCATAGGAGAAGCATCGGTCTGAAACCTTGAACGTGGTGCGGAAGAGGAGGGAAAGGGCATCCCTGATTAAGGAACAGGGTAAGCAAAGACGGGAGGCAGGCCAGCAGCACGAAATCGCAAGGACACAGAGATGAGTCTGGAAAGGAAATTGGGGGTCAGCGCAGGGAGAGCCTTAGATGCCAGAATGAGTAAGGTGGCCCTAGAGAGGAGGTTTGCGAGCTCTGGGGAGTCCCACATGGAGTCAGTTGAGGAGGTGTCCTGACTCACACCAAAACAGGAGTACCCTAAACTCACTCCTCTAACGAGCAGCCGCCAACCCTCAAAGGTTTACCAGCTTGACGTTCCGCTCTGCCATCCTCCCCTCCCCCAGCCAGCCCCATGAATGGATCCAGATGGTCATTCCTATTTTGGGTAGTGTATGTGTTGGGGGAGGGGTGGTTCTGAACCCCATCAATCCTCAAACAAACTCTGTGTAAGAGGAGCCTCTTCCAGGCCCTGCTGTGATCCTCTGAGCCTGGAAGGCAGCGATAGTCTTTGATGGAGATTATCCATCTGGCTGGGGGGTGTGTGGGGGCGGGCAGAGAAGGCAAGGACACAGGCCAGGGAGCTGAGTGCTCTGGGTTAGAACCAAGATGATGCGTGCATGAGAGAAGGGGCCCTGTGATAGCTTGTAGCGGAAGCCAAAGCCGGGAGAGAACCCCCCACAGGAGTCTGAGCTGGCTCCGCTATACAGCCACATGACCTTTGCATCCTGACTTCTGTAGCTACCCAGGGCAAAGGGAGGATAATGTAGGCTGTAAGAAGAAAGCTAGGATACAGAGAAACCCTGTCTCGAAAACCAAAAAAAAAAAAAAAAAAAAAAAAAAGAAGAAGAAGAAGAAGAAAGCTGGGGCTCTCTCAGAACACAGTACTAAAGCGCTGTGCCCACCAGCCTCCAGGAACCCATCTTAAAAGGGCTCAGAGCACAAGGAAGTAGCAGACGAGAAGCTAGGTCCCTGTGCTCAGACAGTCTGTTACCAAAATATTATGCCAAGCCTGTAAGTATTTGTCACAGATCTGGCTTAGTGAATATTGGTTAAAGACCACTAAGCACTATACTAGGCACTGGGTTTACAGAAGGGAAGGCAACCACTCCTCCCTAGTGGAGGAAGCAACCAATATGAGGCTATAAATGTACTATGGAGAAAGGGGTGTTCCAGAGGAGAGTGGCAGGGGCTTTCTAATTCATGTACTATGGAGAAAAGGGGTGTTCCAGAGGAGAGTGACAGGGGCTTACTAATTCAAACTGGAAGCCAAAAACTTGGCTGGCTAAGAAAATGACATTGCATCTAAGTCTGGAAGGATGAATGGAAGTTAGTTTAAGTGGGTAGAGGGGTACATAAAAGGCAGGGGTGGGGGTGTGCTATGTTCCTCAGTATGAAGGGATAATGGCAGGAAGTGATCAAAGGTTAGGGTATCAATAGTGAAGAAGTAAGAGATAAGACGATCTGGAAGGTACAGTGTCCTGTAAATTGAAACATGGTAGACATAGCAGGATGGTGGGGCACATGCCTTTACTCCCCACACTCTGCGGGGTGGGAAGAGGCAGGTGGATCTCTATGAATTCTGAGGCTAGCCTGGTCTGCAGAGTGAATTTCCAGACAGGCTCCAAAGCTACACAGAGAAACCCTGTCTCAAAAAACCAAAAACCAAACAAACAGCCAAAACAACAACAACAAAAAAAAACCATGGTAGATATGTGTATCTTATATTAAGTACAATGGGAAGTCATCGAAGCTTGTCAGGTGAAATGTGGTATTTTGTTAGTACTGCCAACTTTGTGGCAGAACCCCGAGACTTACTTTGGTTGTTTCCTCATATCCATACACATAACAATGGTTAAAAGACATATAAGGTAGTAATGCTGGTAAAGGAATATCAAAGACACACACTTTCCTTGCCAGCCTGGGACACAGAAGTTAAACAAGTACTGTGACTGACTCAAGAACTAATGTGATAACTCATCTGAGCATTTCCTGGGCACTTAATCTATTCTAAACTGTGCTGGAGGGGTTGCTTCCCTGCAGGGTTCAACTGCATATGGTTCACACTGCACAGGGTCATTCATGAAAGGTGTACAAGTGTGCTCAAAGGATTTTGAGTAGATTAGAATTAGATACCAGTGAGGGTTTTTTGGGTTGGCTGGTTGGTTTTGCTTTGTTTTGTTTTTGAGAAAGGATTTCTTTGTAGACCAGGCTGGCCTCAAATTAGCAGAGATCCTCCTGCCTCTGTTTCTGGAATGCTGGGATTAAAGGATTAAACCACCCAGCTCAGTAAGATCTTTAAATGTCAATTAAATTGAGGAACATTTAGTATAAGTTCAATAGGGATGTGCACAGTTCTTGGAACATCTGCTCTGCAGTAGGAATTGTACCAGCTAGTGTAGTCAAAGACATTTGGATTTTCTTTCTTTCTTTTTTTTTGTTTTTGTTTTTGTTTTTGTTTCTCAAGACAGGGTTTCTCTGTGCTTTGGAGGCTGTCCTGGAACTAGCTTTTGTAGTTTCCATACTGTTCCGATAAAGCAGTCTCAGCTTGTTGAGGTAATCTGTCTGCCTCTCTGCCTCGTTTTTCTTATGCCTTCCTGTAGCCTGGTCCCCTTCTTGTCTCCCAACCTCACTTCACACTGCGTCACATTCTACTTCCTTGTCTCTCTGGACATCCCTCCAAAAGCCAAAAGATTTCAAGACTCGGGTGTGAACTTAGACAGTTGCTAACTGCTAAGGTCTCAGTTTTCCTATTGAACATAAAAGGATCTGGCATAGTGACGCACCCCTTTAATCCCAGGGAAAGAGGCAGGCAGATCTCTATGTGTTTGAGGACAGCCTGGTCTACATAGTGAATTCCAAGACAGCTAGAGCTACTTAGTGAGACCCAGTTTTGAAATAAAAGCAAACATTGTCCCCAAAACAACAATAAAGAGGCTCTATCTATCTGCCTAAATCCTGTGACTCCTGGAGCCAGGATGATATGCCCTCTCCGCACACAGTGACCCTCCCAGCTTTCCTGTCTTTGCATCTCTGCATCCCTGCCCTCCCCAGGCCAGAGGCAAACATCAGTATCGTCTTGCTTGCATACTGCACTGCGTGTGTCTCTATCTCTTTTTCTTTTTCTTTCTTTCTTTTTTTTTTTTTTCGAGACTGGGTTTTGTTTTGGAGGCTGTCTTGGAACTAGCTCTGTAGGCCAGGCTGGCCTCGAACTCACAGAGATCCGTCTGCCTCTGCCTCCCGAGTGCTGGGATTAAAGGCGTGCGCCACCAATGCACCGCATGTGTCTCTATAAATAAAAAGGTCAAAGGAAATCTAAAGACTTGTGTTTGAATCGCGGCCCCTCACCTCGTCAAGACTCAGTATCTCATTTGTAACCCGAGGAAAGCAACTAAATTTGTGTGTCTAATTAGTTTGTGGAACGTAGTAACAATGCATGTCAAGTGCTTGGCACCTAATAAGCGCTCAGCAAATACTGCCTGCACCACGTGCCGGCGAACCGAACCGCGATTGGCTGTGGGTCTCCCTGGGCTAGACTGACAGCTGCCTGAGGACCATAGAGACGCTCACCTACAGGAGCGCCTAAGAGGCTACGCTGTCCGGGCACAAAAGGACGAGACTTCAATTCCCGGAGGGAAGACCAACCAGGTGGACCCCCTAACCTCCAGGAAGTGACGATACAGGGGCGAGCGGCTCCGCAGCCAGGCCTTCCCGAGCGGGGCCTGTCGAGCGGGCCGCGCGCAGCATGGCGGAAGCGGAAGGGAGTTCTCCGCTCCTGTCGCAGCCGCCGCCGCCCCCTCCTCGGATGGCGGAAGTAGAAGCGCCGACGGCGGCCGAGACGGACATGAAACAGTACCACGGGTCCGGTGGCGTCGCCATGGACGTGGAGCGGAGCCGCTTCCCCTACTGCGTCGTATGGACGCCCATCCCGGTGCTCACGTGAGTCTCTTCCGGCGTCGCGCAAAAACGGGGAGGGCCCGAGAGTCCTCCGGTGTGTCGTACCAGCTTTTTTTCTCAGACGGGGCAATCCTTACCCCGAGCCAGGCCGGCGCCCCGTCCCTAGAACCCCGCCACCTGTGCGGTGCTTGTTCCGCTTGATGCGTGCTTCCCATCGTGGTTACCCCTAGTCTAACTGGGGAGGAGGACGATTGTAGGCCAGGTAACTAGAAGCCCCTAAGCTGCGCAGGTGTACAGAAAAGTACATTGTCTGAAGGGGTATGTTCATTCATTCGCCGTCATTTTTTTTTCACTCATTGAGCAAATCAATGCTTACTGGTCATCTGCTATACGCAAAAGTGAGTTTAAAAGCAAAAGTGAGTTTGATTGAGGCCACACTTGTTCATGAAATGTCAGCACTGGGAGGTCCAGGCCAACATTTTGGACCCCTACATCTTCTGAGTTGCAAAACAGAAATCAAGTACCTAGGTGTCTGCCCAGTGGAAGAGGAGAAGCAGGTACAGAGGTGCGCTTACTGCCCTCCTACTTTAGGGTTGTTTGTTTGTTTTTCAAGACAGGGTTTCTTTGTATTGTTTTGGAAGCTGTCCTGGAACTCGCTCTGTAGACCAATTGGTGTAGACACCAATGCCGGGCTTCTACTTTAGTTTTAACAGCCTGGGCAGTTTGCAAGTTCTTTCATTCCCTTTTTCTTTTTGGTTTTTTTCCTTTGGTTTTTTGAATTTCTAAAGTAGGAATCCTCTTCCTCGTGTTGAAGCTGAGCTTCTTGTAGCATTGTCTTGGTCTGTTTACTGCCCCAGCAAGAAGACATTCGGAAATCAAATTTACTGTAACTTGTCATTCAGCTGTGTCATAGCACCCCTCACCTGAGGGGATATGTATTTTTTCTTCCATCAAAACCAGCCATCTGCCGCACGCCTTTAATTCCAGCATTGGGGGAGGCAGAGGCGTGAGATCTCTTGAGTTCAATCAAGGCCAGTCTGGTCTCCATAGCTAGTTCCAGGACAGATAGGGCTCTTATACAGAGAAACCCTGTCTCGGAGGTGGTGATCCACACCTTTAACCCAGCATCCAGAGGCAGAGGCAGGCAGATGTCTGAAGCCAGCCTGAACTAAATGGTGAGAAAAAAAGCAAAATCAGCCAGATTGTGTCGAGAAGGAATCATTATTAGCCTCAGATGTTGCTGACCTTAAAATCACTTTCACCATTTGTTTTTGTATTTATTTTATTGGCTTTAAGACAAGATCTTGGTATGTGCCCAGGATGACCTGGTATTTATTATGTAGCCCATGTTGATTTTGAACTCCTGATCTAATGAGAACATTCAAGTTCCAGCCTCAATGCTCTCTCAGGGTCCAGGCTAGGGGCTAGACAGCAGGTTGGTAGGGTATTTCTAAAAGGCGTCTGAGGGTGAGAGGGAGATAAACTGGCTCACACACGCTTCCTCTCATGAATCTTTAGTCTTCAAAATGGAGTCTTCCCAAAAAAGTTCTCTCCAAAGCTCTCTTTAAGATTTCTCTCTTAAAGCTTTCTCCTCAAAAGTTCTTTCTCTAAAAGCTTTCTTAAAGTTCTCTTTAAAAGTTCCCCTTAAAAAAATTCTCTGAAGTTCTTTCTAAAAAGCTTCCAAAATTTTCTTCTTCTAAAAGTTCTCCTGAGGTCTCCTATCCCACAAGAGTTTCTAGTTTTTATACCCAAGGCACTTGTAACAACTCTCTGACAATAGGGCGTGCATATCTCTCAGAGCCAGGGAGGCGGTAGGATCTTGAGAAAAGCAGGTGCCTAATGTCTCTCCCCTGGACATGACTTGCAACATGTGCTGTTAACTGATAAAGGGGACTTCCCAGTGCTATATCAAAGGGGAAAACTAAGGCTATGTGGTGTGAAATCCAGAGGGTGCAGCTCTAACTGCTGACGCCCAGGTGAGAAGGAATTCCTTTCTGTGGGGCCAATTTGAGAATTCAAAGCACCCAGTATATAGTCTATATACAGCCAAATTTGAAGTAATAAATATTCTGGAGTTACTACCTAGATGATTGCTACTTCTGTAATAAATGATAAAGGCTCACAGCACTGATCCCCCTGCCTCAGGCCTCTGAGTTCTTGCAAACCAGGGTTCAATTTCCAGCACCCACATGGTGGTAGTCAGCCACCTGTAATGCCAGTTCCAGGGGATCTGATGGGCAGCTGGCCAACAAGTGGTGCACATACATACATGCGGGCAAAATGTTTGTGTAAATAAAACTAAACCACAAAAGAAAAGCAGCCTGTCAGTGGTGGCGCATGTCTTTTAATTCTAGCACTCGGGAGGCAGCCTGGTCTACAAAGCTACACAGAGAAGCCCTGTCTCAAAAAAAAAAAAAAATCAAAGTCTGAGTCCAGGCACTGTGGCTTATACCTCTGACCTGAGGGCACTCCCAGAGATTAAGGTAGGAGAGTCCCTAAGAGTATTGAAACCATCCTAGGTTACAGAGCAAAGTCCAGGCCAACCTAGGGTTCCAGAGTGAGCCCCTAGATCAAAATACCAAAACTAAAAAGAAACACAAACAACTTACAATACGTGCTTGTTAATTCATTAAATGCTCCTCTAACACATTTGCTAAATGACTGACTCCTTGTGCCTCTGTAGCTGTAGGTGGTAAGGCCTAGCTGTATGGTATATAGCCATACACTGGCAAGTAAAGCAAGTGTGCTGCTTGCTCTTGAGTTGGTGGGAGGAGTAGAGAGTAAACAAGTAACCAATAGGGAGAACTCCGGATGTCGAGTAGGGCTGTGAAGAAAAACGACTTAGTGTGAAAGTGGGTGAGCACGCAGGTGATGTGCTGTTTGTGAAAGCTCGACATGCTAGCCATGTTGACCTTTTCCTCAAAATTACTTATTTCTACCAGGTGGTTATGGCAGGAGCCTTTAATCCCTGCACTTGGGAGGCAGAGGCAGGTGGATCTCTGAGTTCCAGGCTAGCCTGATCTACATACAGATCGAGTTCCAGGACAGCCTCCAAAGCTATACAGAGAAACCCTGTCTCAAAACCACACCCCCCACTCTGTGTGTGTGTGTGTGTGTGTGTGTGTGTGTGTGTGTGTGTGTGTGTGTGTGTGTGTACACATTTATGAGTACCTATGGAGGTCAGGGGACAGCTTACAGGAGTTAGTTCTCTCCTTCTGCCATGTAAGTCCTAGGACTCAAACACAGGTGATAGGACTTGGCACAATTTACACATTGAACCATCTGGTCAGGTCAGCTCCTCTTTTTCTGTTTGTTTTGTTTTGTTTTTCTTTTCTTTTTTTTTTTTTTGGTTTTTTGAGACAGGGTTTCTCTGTGGCTTTGGAGACTGTCCTGGAACTAGCTCTTGTAGACCAGGCTGGTCTCGAACTCACCGAGATTCGCCTGCCTCTGCCCCCAAGTGCTGGGATTAAAGTCGTGCACTACCACTGTCCTGCAAGCTCCTTATTTTTAAAACTATTTTTGCAGCATGGTCCTCTTCAGAAAAATGGTAGCAACTTGAAGTGGAGACATACATCTCCTCACTGTGTGGGCTGGAAGCAGCTTACATCTCAATTCTTTTCAGACATGGGTGCAGGTGCTCCTAAGACTCTGGGCTCCCGTGGAGGACTCGCCCTTCAGCAGAAGGGATGTTTACAGATGGCTTTGTAAGGACATGGCTATGTGATTGCTGAATGCAGGGATAGATGTGGCATGGGGACTCACATTTGTGAGAGGAAGATCAGGGAAAGACACTTATTCCAAGACCTGCCCACCTCTTCTGAGATGTTAATGTTGCCTGTCAGCCAGTCCTTGACACCCACTGTGAAAGCAGATACTGTTGTGCTCGCTCATATGTGGATGAGGGGTAAAGGCATGAAACTCCAGGATGAGCAGCTAACTCATCCACTAAGACCACTGTTGTCCTGGGTTCAGAGGAGACAGCCCTTAACTGAGCTCTGGAGCTTGCGCTTGGGGAGCTGACAGGCTGCCTTGAGAGTTGCTTCCCTGGGGTTTTGCTGGTGCAGAGCTTTAGTGTTGTATCTCCAGCCTTCATTCCCACCCCATCGGCCATCAGCACAGTCCCGACATGGAGTCCCTGCCCCTTGGAAGGAATCTGGTCCAGGAAGAGCCTGGGGTTGGGTCCTGAGAAGCCAGGGGAGCTGTTTCCCATAGTTCTTGGTTTCCGCCCTGTGCTCACTGTGGCTCTTCAGCTGCTTACTCTTTACCTGACCAGGTAGCAGGTATTTACTGACTGCCCAGAGTAGCTGCACCCACGTGTGAGCAGCGGTTTACATGGATTGCAAGCAGTGGTCCCACAGCACAGTGCTGCTACTCTGAGGGAGCTGGGAATGCACAGTCTGCTCAAAACTTAAAGCAGAGCCTGACTTCAGGACCTCTCTGTGGTCCTGCCTGCCCTGGAACTTACTATGTAGACCAGGTTGGCCTTGAACTCACAGAGATCCACCTGCCTCTTCCTCCCAAGTGCTGACTTCATTCTTTTTTTCTAATTGTCACATAGAATAATCTTAAGTATATATGGGGTACAGTGTGACATTCCAGTATGTATTTTTAAGACAGGGTTTCACTATGTAACCCTGGCTGTCCTGGAATTCCATCTGTAGACCAGGCTGGCCTTGAACAGAGATTTGCCTGCTTCTGCCTTCCAAGTGCTAGGATCAAAGGTGTGCGCTACCACTGCCTGGCTCCAATATATATTTTTAAAATGGGTGGGCAAAGTGCCTACCTCATAAATATGAGGATCTGAGTTCAAATCCCCAGAACCCATGCAAAGGTATGCATAGAAAATAGGGCTTATAAGGTGAGGTGGCAGAGACAGGGAGCTCCCAACATTCATGGGCAACTAGCCTGGAGTACACAGCAGTGAGACCCTGTCACAGGGCAGAAGGCAAAGCAGCACCCAAGGTTGTCCTCTGACCGTCACACATACACCAGGACACACACACACACACACACACACACACACACACACTATATGCACTCACATATACCACACACACACACACCATATGTACACCACACACACATACATACCATATACACACAATACACACAGATATGCCAGGGCACATGTGGGTATCCATATACACACAGAATGATGAGCAGATCAGGGTAAATGGTGTATCCATTGCCTCAGCTCTCATTTCTCTGTGTTGGGAAGATTCAGAATACTCTCTCCTGGTCTTTTGAAATCTCCAGTTAGTTGTCAGTTATAGTTACCTTGCTGTGCTGTAGAGCGTTGATATTCCTCCTATCCAGCTGCATCACTCTACTGTGCAATGTAAATCATTGGCTCAGTGTTCCACTGACAGACAGATACATGGGGAGTCAGGAGCTGTGTGCCATGCCAGGCACGCCTGAGAAGCTGCACTGGTGGAAGAAACAGAGTCTTTGTTCTCATGGAGCCCAAGTATTTAGTGAAGAGAAAGAGGCAGCTGCTGAGTAAATGCACAGAATCACTTCTGGTGCATGGATAATGGCAAAGGAAGCAAAGGGGATGATAGGTCTGCGGCTCTGTGGCTGCTGGCGTGTGAAGCGGAGACATCAGATCTTAAAACTTTTCTTTAAACAATTTTTTAAAATGTATTTTATGTACATTGGTCTGAAGGGGTTGGAACTAGAGGTACAGACAGTTGTGAGCTGCCATGTGGGTGCTGAGAATTGAACCCGGGTACTGCTCTTGCAGAGGACCTGGATTCAGTTTCCAGTGCTCACATCCTGTGGCTCACAACTGCTGGTAACTCCAGCTGCAGGGGATCAGATGTCCTCCCTCTTCTGGCCTCCAAGGGCACCTACCTGTACACAGGCCCCATACTACCACACACATACACATGATTAAAATTTAATCTAGGAGAAAAAGAAAGCCCTCTTCCTTTTACAGTCTGACTCCATCACCTATGGCTGTCTAGTCAAGACTGTCATCTAGGGTTGGAACTTCAGTAGTAGCCCCTACGGTGCCCCTCCCGCCTTCTCGGCTCTCCACCCTCTCCTCAGGCTTGTGCATCAAGCACCTTACCCACCGAGCCTTTGCCAGCCCTGCATGAGCTTCCCCATTTTCAACCTCCTCCCTGAAGTGTTATCTGCGTGCTATGAGGTGCGCAGGGCTTAAGCATAAAAGTCAGTTAAGTTTTTAAAGGTTTCCTTCCTTCCTTCCTTCCTTCCTTCCTTCCTTCCTTCCTTCCTTCCTTCCTTCCTTCCTTCCCTCCTTCCCTCCTTCCCTCTTCCTTCCGTCCGTCCCTCCCTCCTTCCTGCCCTCTTTAATTTATGGGCTGGAGACGGTTCAGCAGTTAAGACCATGTACTGTTAGAGAGAATCCAAGTGTACTTCCCAGCCCCTGTGTCAGGTGGCTGATAACCCTGTAAGGCCAGCTTCAGTGGAATCCAATACTTGTGGGTACCCATTCATACCTACATGCAGATAGTTACACATAATTTAAAATAACATTTGAAACTTTTTCATTGTTAATGTGTGCATACAGGAGTGTGTGTGTTTTAGTACACAAAAAGAGGTCAGAGGTCAGCTTTATGGAATTGTTTTCCCCTTCTACCGTGTGAGTCCCAGGAGTTACCAGGCTTGGTGGCAGGCACCCTCACAGCTGAGCCACATCTTGCCAGTCCCAGGGCAATAGTGGTAGATTTGCTTTGTCTTCTCTGGAACACTAAACAGTACTACATTTTATATGCTTTGGTCAGGCTTTCTTTCAGGCGTACACTCTTGAGAGTCTATGTCGTATGTAGCAAAAATGTGTTTTCCATTGTTACATGCAGCTATTGCAAGGCTATGCTGATTTTACTTATTTTTCTGTCAGAAATTCATTTCTCTCTCTTTCTCTCTCTCTCTCTCTCTCTCTCTCTCTCTCTCTCTCTCTCTCTGTGTGTGTGTGTGTGTGTGTGTGTGTGTTTTGTTTTTAAATAGCTTTATTTTTATGGATGGGCATTTTGCCTGCATGTATATATGTGCACTGCACGCATGCCTGGTATCCATGGAGGTCAGAAGGTATCACATCCTGTGGAATTAGAGTCATGAAGGCATGAGCTACCATATGGGTGCTGGGGACTGAACCCTGGTCTTCTCCAAGAATAGCAAGTGCTCTTAATGGCTAAACCATCTCTCCAGTTCCATTGTTTTTTGAGACAAGCTCTCACTGTATAGACAAGGCTAGTCTTTAACTCACAAAGATCTGCCTGCCTCTGCTTCCTAAGTGCTAGGATTATAGGTATATACCAGCCATGTTCAGCTTAGTTGGGTTTTGTTACCTTTTAACAATTAACTTGGAGATAATTTACATTTAACAAAAGTTATACTTTACTTTTTTATTTTATGTTTATGGATGTTTTGCTTACATACATGTCTGTGCGCACATCTGTGCCTGGTACCCACAGAGGCCAGATGGTTGAGAGCTGCCATGTAGGGTTTGGAAATTGAACCCAGATCCTCTAGAAAAGCAACCAGTGCTCTTAACCATTGATCTGGCCTTTTCCCTGCTCTGCTTTTTTTTTTTTTTTTTTTTTTTTTTTTTGGTTTTTCGAGACAGGGTTTCTCTGTGGCTTTGGAGGCTGTCCTGGAACTAACTCTTGTAGACCAGGCTGGCCTCGAACTCACAGAGATCCCCCTGCCTCTGCCTCCCAAGTGCTGGGATTAAAAGCGTGCGCCACCACCCTGCTCTGCTTTCTTACAGGTGGTTTTTCCCCATCATCGGCCACATGGGCATCTGCACATCCACAGGAGTCATTCGGGACTTCGCTGGCCCCTATTTTGTTTCGGTGAGTCTCCATTTTGCCCTGCCCTGGAGAGTATCCAGGCTCACGTAGAAAGGCTGGCCTGGGCCCAAGAAGTCGCAGATAACTCTCAGCCCTGGCCCTAGCCTTCTGCCCCTCACTGGTGTTTGACCCCTTTCCTTCTCTTGCCTCCAGGACAGGCCAGGAGGGCAGTGTGGCCAGAGGAATCTTAAGTAACTGGCTCAGCCCTCTGCCCCCATCCCTGGGTACCAAGACATGGGTAGGGGTTAGAGGCAAGAGTGGAGTCAGACCATCCAGGAACCACATCTCTGGACCTTCAGAAGGTGGGAGCCATGGTTGGGGGACAGGGGAGGCTGACGTGGTTCCCAGGGCTTTTAGACTGACCCAGCTGTGTTCTCAAATCTGCATCCTGGGATGGACCAGCACTAGTCCAGGCTCTTTGCAGATGAGCACATGGCATTTGCCTGTTTTTAGGTAGCTAAGGCTGGAAAATGGAGGGGTGTGATGGCATAGCCTGTTTGTCTTAATGGTTGTTACAACCATCCTAACAGGACAAGGTCTATTGTTGTGAACTTCATACTTTCACTAGGTAGGCATAGTAGATCATGCCTCTCTAATTCCAGCATTGGGAAACTGAGGCAGGAGGATTGTCCAGAGTTTAAGGTCAGCCTGGGCTACATAGTGAGTTCCAGGTTAGTCTTGGGTATAGAGTTGGGCCCTGCTTCAAAAAACAAAACAAGGCCAGGCATAGTATCATATTCCAGTACTCCTGAGGCAGAGATAGTGAGTTCAAGGCCAGCCTGGTCTCCATAGAGAGTTCCAGGACAGAGAGGGCTACTGAGGGGGGGTGTCTACATACAGAGTCTAGAACTCCACAGTCTCTCCCTCATAAGAAAGTTCTCTCTCTTGCTCTGAAGGTATCTGCTCCAGGTTCCATGTGAACTATCACTGTTGCATTGAGAGGTCAGGGAGCTGATGTTACAACCTGAAGGAAAGAAACCTCTGGCCCATGCTGAAAGATCAAAGACTGCCCTGAGGACATCAGGAGAGGGCCAGAGAAGTCCCTGGGTCTTGCCCTGTCTCCTTTCCACAGAGCAGTGGCTCTGGCACTACAGATGTCATGCTATTCCATGTCCCAGCTCTGCTGACCCCTTCTAAGTCACTGCACTCAAGCCAGGGCTGTCATTAGACTGGATGTAGATTCTGCACTGACTTCTGCTCTTGTCTCTCAACAGGAAGACAACATGGCCTTTGGAAAGCCTGCCAAGTAAGTGAATAGTCTTGTGCATAGCCCTAGGCCAGGTTCCTCCTGCTCAGAGCAACAGGCCAGGCCCTGTGAGATGCAGCAGGGCCAGCACCCTGAGGACAGTTAGAGCCCATGAGGCCACAGTGCCCTGTGCCCTGTACCTAGTGTACAAGTTCCCATCTAGGCCTCATCTTGTAGACTGCCCAGGTCTTGCTCAGATCTGGGAGATTGTGTTTTCAATTCCATGGCACAGGAGTACAGACAGGGATGGGACTCACTCGGGCAAGGTCACACAGTTAGGGAGCATCAAGCCTAGCTCTCACAGCCAAGTCTGTCTTCCTGTGTAGCCTGGAGTCCTTCCACCCCGGGGAACAAGCATGCCATTAAGGAATAGAAGACTGCTTGGGGCTCCCCTGCAGCTTTGTTTGGAGGGTGTGAAAGCCGCTCAGGCCCTTTGAGAGCAAAGGCAGGTTCGGTGTAGGCAGGCTTGTCTTTATTCTTCGGCCTAGGTAGTTCCTGTGACTCTTGGCTTGGTGACAATGCCTCAGAACTACAGCAGGCACCCTGTGGCCCAAAGCTACACAGGAAGCTGCTGGACAAGGTGGCTTGGAGCAGAGCTGCCTGCTCTGGCTTCCTCAGGCAGGTAGAGATGTGGTCTGAGGATTTCTTCAGGCTGTTTTTCAGAGTGTTCTAGTTGTTTAATTTTTGTATTTTCAAAGGCATTTTTAAGGACAGTCTGCTCCGAGCAGGAGCCCCTGAGCCCCACAGTCCAGACCACAGTGGTTTTTCCTTTCATGTCTGCTGCTGGTCTCCTGTCACGGTCTCCCCTCCGTTGTCATCCCCCATCCCTGTCCCCGCCATGGGGCCCTCTGCTGCTCCAGAAGCCATCTGACTGACTGCCTGGTGTTAGGGGTTCAACTCTGCCAGTTTCTTTCCCACTCCAGCAGCTGAGTTGGGGAGAACGCTGCTGCTGCTGCTGGGTAACCACTTCAGTGTGGCGTCTGTGTCTCCTGTTTCAGCTGTCACTTCGTTCCCCGACACCTCCCCCCCCCCAAATCCTCCAGGAGTGCTCAGTCGCTTATTTCTGGGACACACTGAACAGTTTATGCTTCCCACCTTATTCAAGCTGTTCCACAGCCCCCGGTGCTGACCTAACCCTCTTCTGTTAGCCTAGACTCAGGTGTTCCCTCTGTCTCATGTCCCTCATGCAGGTTGCCATGACAAAATGCCATTGAGTGGGTGGCTCATCAACAACAAAAATGTCTCAGCATTGGAGAGTAGGAAGGCCAAGAACAGGGTGCTGATATACTCAGTGCCTCATGGGGCCACAGTGCCTTCTTGTCCCCACATGTGATGAAAGGAGTGGAGGGGTCTCTCAGGCCTGTCTTTTAAGGTCACTGACGCTAACCATAAAGGAGTTCCTGGAGCCTAGGATTTCACCTTAAGAATAGGGGAACAATCTACATTAGTGGCAATGATGACACATGCCTTTAGATCCCAGCAGAGGCAGGCAGATCTCTGTGAGTTCAAGGCCAACCTGGTCTACAGTGTGAGTTCCAAGACAGCCAGGATTACACAGTGAAACCCTATCTCGAAAAACCAAAAAAACAAAAATAGGGGACAAACATTGAGACCATACATATAGCACTCTGGATTAGTCTGAGTCTTCTCGGGAACCATTGTGGCACTGGTGGTCTTGACCGATCACAATCGTCTCACTTCCTGGGGAGATGGGAACAGACTTGTGTTCACTCCAGATTGGACACTGATTGCACCCAAATGGAGTCTCATAAGCCTGAATTTGCTGGCGTCACTTACAGGAGTGTGAGTGTCCCAAAGGCAGTAGACTCCCCGAAAAGTTCACCTTATGGGCATAGCTCGTAAAGTGTGTCCCTGCCTTTTCCCGCATGTCATGCTGGCACCTGGGGTTCTCAGTGTCTTCCCCACACCAATTGCTATAACTTGAAGGGCCTTGGGGAAGGGCCTTGAGACTCTTTCAGGAGTTTCCTGAGCCCTGTGAGTTTTCTTTCCCAAGTCTCAGTGGTTCCCCTCTTTCCTGCAGAAGAGAATGTGTCAACTGAGAGAAAATAGCCACATCACACTAGACCTGGACCTACCTGGTCGCCTCACAGCCTTGGGCACCCACACAGAGAGCAGTCATAAAGCTGAAAGGCCACAAAGGGACTGAGCCAATCCCCAGAACTTCCCTTTTCTCTTCAGGTTCTGGAAATTGGACCCCGCACAGGTATATGCTAGTGGGCCCAACGCATGGGACACAGCTGTGCACGATGCCTCTGAAGAGTACAAGCACCGAATGGTAGGTGGGAACTTGGATGGAAAGCCCCCCCTCCACCTCCCCCAGCCCAGTCTGACCCAGCTGCTCTTGTGTCTCCAGCACAATCTCTGCTGTGACAATTGCCACTCACATGTGGCATTGGCCCTGAATCTGATGCGATACAACAATAGCACCAACTGGAACATGGTGACACTCTGCTTCTTTTGCCTGATTTATGGGAAGTATGTCAGGTGAGCTGTCTTCCCATCTGCAAGCACCCCCACACACACACACCACTTGCAGGCCACTCTCCCTAAAAAAGCTGTCACTGGAGTCCTTCAGTCAGCAGGGAGGCTCTAATCTAGAGCAACCGAGTTCCTGGTGGAGAGCACGGTGGCTGTACCAAAGTCCTCCTCCACATGGATTTCCAGCTGAGCTGTCACTTGCTCACTGCGAGGTCCTGGGTAGCTGCTTCTGGGCTACAGCTGTCCCTGGTTAAAGGGCTATCGTGGCTCTGGCTTCTAGAAAAGCTGTGAGTGTACAGATGTCCAGATGAACACACAGATCTCTTGGCTAGTGTCTCCCCCCTCCACACCCACCCACCCTGTGTTCTTTGTCAGAGGCAGGCTTCCAGACAGTTGAGCTTCTAGGCCAGGCAGATCTCTGAAGCCACAGCCTCATGACCTGTGAGACACTCATCTCGCTTACACTGAGAGAATTCAGGATGGTGAGTTCCCTGGATTCCACAGCAGAGCCCAGACTTAGGAACCATCTCACACTCAAGCTGATCCCCGCCCCCCCAACTTTGTTTTTGTTTTTTTGTTTTTTTGTTTGTTTGTTTGTTTTTCGAGACAGGGTTTCTCTGTGGCTTTGGAGGCTGTCCTGGAACTAACTCTTGTAGACCAGGCTGGCCTCGAACTCACAGAGATCCGCCTGCCTCTGCCTCCCGAGTGCTGGGATTAAAGGCGTGCGCCACCAACGCCCGGCCCAACTTTGTTTTTAATGTGCTTATCATTATGAGATTCTGGAAGGGAAATTCTCAGAGGGCTTCTTTGTCTCTGGAAGGCTTTAGAGACTCCCCAAAAAAGAACATGACTGGGCACAGGATTGGGCCCTGCTTCCTAGCCCTGTGACCCTGGCTGTCCATTATCCATTTCTCTCTGTGGATCCCACCCTCAGTAGGAGCTCCTGGTCATGAGCGATTGTAGGTGCCAGCGAGATTACATATCCTTCCTTCCATGGTCTCCATAGTGTGCATTAGGTTAGATCCTGTCCCTTAGCTGACCAAACTGAAGAATAAGTTCCAGGAGCCTTCTAGGAACTTAAGCCCTGTCAGGGTGGGGGCAGGGGGGGATTCTGGGCCATCCATCTGCTTGCCTGACTGTTTCTGTGCTCTCCTTTGCCAGTGTTGGAGCCTTTGTGAAAACCTGGCTGCCCTTTGTCCTCCTGCTGGGTATCATCCTGACCGTCAGTCTCATCTTCAACCTGCGGTGATGGCTTTCCAATGGTCTGAGCTCTCCAGGCCCCCAAGGAGGCCCCTGCCACCCACCCTGGTTCCAGTTCTTTTATCCCCCACCCCCTTGGGCAGTTGGCTTCCTGGGTTGGAAGTAGGGTCAGGGCTCGAGATGGAAATGCTGATGTATGAGGTGAGGACACTTAGAGCCTCCTTGTCCTCTCTCCCTGGGCTGTAACCTCACCTTTGTGGCATCCCCATTGCTGTCATGGGAAGGCCTTCCTTTAGAGCACCTGCTGCCACTGCCACTGAGCTGTTTCTGCCATGCCCAGGACGCATTGAGGACCCACTGGGCAAAGCCGCGTCCAGAGCTGGATTTGAAGCTGCTTTCTGACGGGTTGTGTACTGAAGTGGGGTGTGGTGTTCTAAGAAGCACTGCGAGCCAAGAGACTTGGAACCTTCTCTGCTGGCCTAGAATGGACTGGAAGGGCTGGGCTCTTCTGTGTCTGCTAGAGCTGTGCTAGCATATGTACACCCATTGCCCCTCATCTGGGCCCTGGCTAGCAAGGTGAACGACCTTACAAGCAAAGTGGGTCCCCTGTAAATCAGGTAAGGTGAACCCCACTTATTTCCAGCCCAGGGAGTCTTTGTGCTGCTGATAGAACCCCTCATGTACAAAGTGTACAAAGTGTGAGTAACCCTCAGGGCAGCTGGTGGCACCGTGGATCTGCTTCCAGTTGCTGAGTGAACCCTGTGCAGCCTGCCTCGCCCCCTGCTCCTTTATAAGGGGCTCCATGGCAGGAAATAAAGTTTCAAGTCAGGTGGTGTCTGTTGTTTTCTTCCTCCATCCCCTACCCCCAATTCCATAAGCTCATGTGTCCCTGGGCCTGGGGCACAGAGATCTAGTTGCTAACATGTCTGGGTTTTCCAACTGGAGCTTTGGGGCAGATCAATATTCCTTGTAAATTCTGCCGCTGCACAGACTGGAAAGTTCCAGCTGTTCCCGGTCCATATTCCAGGTTTTCTTCTAGAAGGAATCTTCCGTCTTCCCTAATAGAAAAACTTGGCAGTAGGATTGAAGTTGGGAGAGAACTGCCAACCGTGCACAGTTGGAGTTCGCCAAGAGGAATGGCAGCCCTTGACCACATTGTGTATGGTGGCCATGTTGAGTTCCCCACGCCTACCCCACAATCATGTCACTGCTAGCTTGCTCCTGGTGCGTCTTTCCATGACTGCCAGGGTTCTTGTTCCTCACCATATACCAGTTACGTTCTCCTGGTCCACCAAAGCCCAGCTTAAAGGCTGTTTGCAGGACAAGTGACTGACAGCCTTGTCTAGCATGGCTTTGGGTTCCAGCTGCAGCACTCAAATTCTCGTCTGTACTGGCCCTTGTTACAGAGCGTGATTATGTAACCTCCCAACAGCCCTGTAGGGCAGGCACTATCAGTCCATGGGGAAGATAAAGAAATGAGCACCCACATAACTTGTCCAAGTTCAGAGAGAGCAAGAGGCCCAGAAGCCAGCAGAGCCCCACCTAAAAAGGACACTTGGGCCTGAAAACTGGCAAGATGGGTACCCTCCAGGGTGCTGAGATGGGAGGAGGACAGAGAAGCATCCTTGAAACTTTGCTACTTCCTTCAGTGGGAGAAACTTGCTGGTGCAGTTGACCACTTCCATGGGGACACTCGTGGAAAGCACACATGTGAATTCATGTTTTCACTGAGCTACCTCCATCCCTATACATGTAGTATCTGAGAACTTAGGGTTCATGCAGTAGTGCTGAAAACCTTGTTAACCGACTTAAGGAAAAAGAAACTGAAAATAAGACTGACAAAAACAAGTCAGAGGGTGAGTGGTAGCTGAAAGGTTAAGAACCCTGGCAGTTTTTCCAGAAGATGGTGGCTCATGACCATCAGGAAAAAACAAAACCACAATAGAAAGTGTGGGGCTGGAGAAATGGCCCTGTGTCTAAGAGCAAAAGTTGGTTGCTCTCTGACCTCCACATGCACACCATGGTAGTGCACAGATAGAATGTGAAGAAAAAAAGGCTTTGTAAGGAGGCTAAAGGCCAGGTACTGGTGCACACCTTTGAGTCCAGCACTTGAGAGGCAGAGGCAGACAGATGAGTTCAAGGCCAGAGTGAGTTCCAGGACAGCCAGGGCTACACAGAGAAACCCTGAAAAGACAAAAGGGCGGGGAGAGGAGCGGTCAGGGGGAGGAGTTGAAGAGACGCTCAGCATTTGAAAGCACCTGGGGCTCTTGCAGAGGACCTGGGATCCCAGACACCCACATGGTAGCTCACAACCAGTTCCAGAGTCTAACACCCTCTTCTGGCTCTCTTGTGCAGCAGGCACTCATGTGTTTTACACGCATGCGTAGTCAGAGCATTTATACACATAAATAAAAGGAGAGCTGTGGCCTCTAGTGTCCAAGACCAGAATGTGGATAGCCACAGAAGACCATTGTCCCAAAGCCATATACTCTAAGGCCGGAAACAGGTTCTCCTGATCAGGATGTGGTACCGAGTGTGGGCTCCTCAGCTGGCACTGGAATCCAGGGCTCTTCAAGTAGAAGGATCCGGGGGTGAGGAGATAAATGGTTGTTTTGTGAACATGGGTGGTCAGAGGCACTAAAATCACCACGGACATTGGTCTGTTGGAGAGAGGACACCTGGCATCACTACATGCCGTCTGTACCAGGCGCCTGTGGACCACCTGTACCAGGCACCTGTGGACCACCTGTACCAGGTACTTGACCTTCTCTTTGGGTTCCACTCGTTTTCATAGAAAAATTATTGCTCAGAGGGGTTAAAGCTGCTCAAGGCCACACGGTGCTGAAGCCAGCATTCTGTCCAAGGCTGCTTAGTGGCAACTCTGTAATCGTCCTGTTACTGTAGTTTTTAACTTTGCTTTCAAAGCAATCTTCTATTGGCCCTCTATGGCAGAGTGGATCTGTTACCCATTCCACAGATGGAGCAGTCAAGGCCCTGAGCTAGCCCTGCAGGTGAGGCATTCTTCAGTTACAGGGTAAGTCTACAGTGCAGCTGGACCCACCCACAGGGCCCTGCAAAACTGGCCCTGGGTCCCCTGACAGCTGCTGTGGAGGAGCTGCAGTCCAGGCCCGGTTTTGCACCAGGCCCTGCTGAGGTGTCTCCTCCTCCTCCACCTCCTCAGGGCTGGGGCAGCTGCAGCTGGGCCAGTCAGCCTTAGTCCCCACTGCTCTTCTGGGCTCTGAAACTCCTTCCTGGAGAGCTGGAGTTGCCTTCGAAGCTGTCCTCCCTTCTGGACCCCTACAGGTAACACACCTCCCCTGCCAGTGGTCTGAGGGACAGGCACTGCCACCTGGTGTCCTGAGCATACTCTGGCACCTTGGGAGCTTGGGGTGGGGGAAGCGAGAGCAAGTTTATGACTCTGACCTGTCAGGCAGATTGACATATTTTTTAGCATCAAAACGTCTGTCCCATAATGTTACTACAGGGGGTGGGGGTGGGGGTGGGGGGTGGGGGGTATCAGGCGCTTGATCTGTCTCTGAAAGAGAAAGAGCTTGAGACTTGGAGGCCCACAGCCCAGACCAAGCAAACCTGTAAGACAAGGCCAGGCCCAGTTCTGCCAAATGTCTCTCCACCTTCACACATACACATCTGGTGGTCCCCAGGGCACTAGAGTACACACCACAACATAGCCTGGGCTGGCCAACCACACAGGAAGAAATGTACACACCCACACGGCACTATCTCCAGAAAGTCACTGCACATACCATCTACACTCCTGTAAGACATGTAGTATCGCTCAACACAGCACTTAGGCTCGGATGCTATACTATCCCCTGGCCTGCAGACATGTCTACCCTCTTAATGCTGCAGTTCAGCACAACGCAGCAATGCTCATATACCATGCCACAGAAGAATCCCAAGCTGGCTTCATAGCTGGCATCTGGAGCACAGCCATTCAGGGAAATAGTCACTGTCAGCACACAGGCATCTGCCCAGGGCTATGCAGATACAGAAAGCAGGGTAGGAGAGAAGGCTTGCTTGCTGTGCTTGAACACTGACTCAGCTGGGAAGGGACAGGGCCAGGAGGAGACAGGCACAAGCCAGAACCCGCCCCTGAGTTGCCCTAGTCCCACTTCAGCCCCGCCTGGCGGCCTGGCATGGAAGGGGTAGGAAGGAGAGGAGAGAGGCCCAGTGAGCCCAGGCCAGGGCCACTACTGAGTGCTGGGCCTTTGCCACGTCCACACGCCCCTCTCAGCTGGCAATGTTTTCCTTCCGGAGTGGCTGTGGTGCCTGGGTATGAGTTGTTTTGGCAGCTGAAGCCTCCAGCCAGGTTTGGGGGTTGGGGAGCCCCTGTAATCAGAGGGGCTCAGAATCTCCTCTAAGCAAAAGTGCAGGGCTATTGTCTGTTGTCGGGGAATCTCGGGGCGGGTGGCCTCAATGGAATTGAGCCTTGTGGTCACTTTGCAGGGGAGGAAGTTGGGGGTGAGGGTTGGGGAGGAGGTTGCCTCAGACAGGAAGACCAAATGGGCCAGGGCAGGGTGGAGGGAGGCGAAGGCAGAGGAGGGCTGGGTTGGGAGGCTCCCTGGGTAGGGGCATAAACAAGAGTGGTGGAGAAGGCTAGGTGTGCATTTGCATGTTTGTGCAGGTATATTTTGCATTTCACTAAGAATCAGGTTCTGTTGTGTACAGAGTACTGACTGGAAAAGGAGCTGTCCTTGACTTAAGGAGTTCTCTGCCGGGTTAAATGGGCAGTGTATGAGGGAGGAAAGCCAGGGAGATCTGTGAGTATGCAGGGACTTATTCTTGGATGGAGGTGGGCAATTGTCTCCTTTATGTGGCCATACTGTGTGCAGGCTTGAAACTTACTGTGCACAGCTCTTGGGCTCAGGTCTCTTGTGTATGTGTGACAGTCCTGTCATGAGGAATGTGTGTACCTTACCTGTCTTTGACCAGGTATCCTTGTACCCATATGACTATGTGGAGAACAATGGGTACACATGTCAGTGTGTCCTTAGGGGTGTGTGCATATGTGTCCTGTAGCTTCTTCAAGTGTACCCCCGCCTTGACCTGGCCTTCCTTTGATCGCTCCCTATTACTTGAGTACATGCTTGGAAGAAAACAGGCAGTTGGCTCCAGGATGTGCTGTGTATCTGAGAAGACACTCACCCTTGCTCTGTCCCCAGGAAGCTACTTATGCCCAGCTGGGGCACAACCCCAGCTGATGCCCCAAAGAAGCCACACATCTCACGAGAGGCATTGGGCCCTGCCCTCCCTCCCCATGGCACATGGGCCAGAACCTGACATTGAGGGGTTGCTGGACCTCAGCTTCCTGACAGAGGAGGAGCAGGAGGCCATCACTGATGTCCTCAAACGAGATGCCCGCCTGCGCCAGCTGGAGGAGGGGCGGGTCAGGTGAGACAGCACAGCCACCATCCGGAAGGCAGGCATCCAGGGTCCTTGGAGGCGTCCGTTGGGTCTGGGTGCTTCTCGACTCTACTCTCTGGCCAGCTCAGTGCTCATCCCTTCTCCCAAACCTGTGCTAGGTCCTCCTCAAGTCTCCCTGTCTCTGCGTTTCCCCACTCTGGCCACCACCTTGGGACAGGACGCTTTGGTAGACAGATACCACCTGTCCTTACACTCTGCTGAACCCTCCCCAGACCTCAGAACAGAGTGTCAGAGCCGCTACGTGTGTCCACAGGTCACTCCGATTGGTCCCTGTCATCTCCCCATCTCATCCATTTCCCTGTAAGCCCCACCCAGATATACATAAATCTGCTATAACCATGTAGTGTTTCCCAGTCCCCGAATGCTCTTCGCTTCCAAGCCTAAGATGTCCCTTCTCCCCAAAAGAGCAACAGAGGCGGAGGCCCTCAAGACTGACAAGCACTCTGGGGATAGCTGTATAAACTTTAGTAGATGCCTTAATCTTTTTTTTCGAGACAGGGTTTCTCTGTAGCTTTGGAGACTGTCCTGGAACTCACTTTGTAGACCAGGCTGGCCTCGAACTCACAGAGATCCGCCTGCCTCTGCCTCCCGAGTGCTGGGATTAAAGGCCTGCGCCACCAACGCCCGGCGATGCCTTAATCTTGAACCTCACCTTTCTCAGTTAAAACAGAGCTAAGGGATTTGGGAATGGCTTTGTGGGTGAAGCACTCTCTGCATGGGCTTGAGGAAGAAATCATTTCTCCAGCAGCCACATAAATGCCAGGCCACCCATAAACCCAGTACTTGGGCAACGGTGACAGGGAATTCCTGGAACAAGCTAGGTTCACCAAATCAATGAGTTCTGGATTCAGCTAGAGAAGAATGGGCCAACTTCAGTTTCTGATACACACATGCATGCGACCACAAACATGGGAACACACACACTTGCATGTACACCACACATACATTGCATGTACATGTGCAATAAATAAAGGATCAGGCATGGCTCACAATAACTTTATTGTTCCTGAATAATGATTATTATGTTTCTCAACCTGGAGACTTCCAATTCATCCTTTAAGAAATGATTGCCACTGGGTGATGATGGTGCATGCCTTTAGTTCCAGCATTTGGGAGGCAGAGGCAGGCAGATCTCTGTGAGTTCAAGACCAGCCTGGTCTACAAGAGCTAGTTCCAGAACAGCCTCCAAAGCCACAGAGAAATCCTGTCTTGAAAAAAGAAATGATTCCCACAGAAGGCCCTCTTACTTCCATCACTATACTTATCTATTCTGGGTTCTGTCTCCTTAATAGCCTGAGTGACTCCAGGGCAAGGGTCAAGTGTGATTTGCTGTTGAGCCCCTGGTCCCTGGTCCAGAGTGGGTGTCAGGAAACCAGTTGGGTGAGTAGTGACAGCTGTATCCTCCACTATCCTCTAGCAAACTCAGAGCCTCGCTGGCAGACCCCGGGCAGCTGAAGACCCTGACGGGGGACTGGTTCAAAGAAGCGCGCTCCCAGCGGCATCACCATGCCCATTTTGGGTCTGACCTTGTCAGAGCCTCTATCCGAAGGAAGAAGAGCTCCAGGGGTGAGGGGGGACCCCAAGGCAGGGAGGGGGATCTTTGGGAAGTCAAGGGTAGAGACTGAAAATGGGCAGGACTAGACTTTGGATTCTAAAACTGGCTGCCCCCATACTGAATGTCCGAGTAGCCCTGCACCTCTGAGGGCTATAGGAGATGGATGGGCATCTCCATGGACCATGGCTAGTATGGGGCTTCTAGGGGATGGAGGGTCACAGAATTTCTCATCTGAGCCCAGGGGACCAGGCTCTGGGAAGTGATGGTGAGGCAGAGGATGCTGGGAAAGGCGCCTCCGAGGAAGAGCCGGAGCCCAGGTGAGGAGGCAGCATGGAGAGGAGAGGGGATGGCCAGCTGCCCCGCCCTGAAAACCATCATTCCCTCTTCCTAGGGTCTCCATAGAGATGGCTGTTCCCGAGAGGCACAGTGGGACCCAAGTGAGTACCAGTGACAGTGTGAGCTCAAAGTTAGTGCACTGTGCTTCCAAACTGGGGTCAATGTGCTGGGGAAGGAACCCCACTGCGGGAATCAAGGGACTCGGGGAAGGAACCCCACTGCGGGAATCAACCTGTGGCCTAGACCAAGCCACTAAGGCAATTATGAATCCAGCTAGTAAGACAAAGGCCGGAGACAGGAGGTGGTGGCGCACACCTTTAATCCCAGGTAGAGACAGGTGGATCTCTGAGTTTGAGGCCAGCCTGGTCTACAAGGGTTCCAGAATAGGCTCCAATGCTACAGAGAAACCTGTCTTGAACCTCTCTTCCTCCCCCCAGAAAAGAAGTATAAGGCTGTAGCTCAGTTGGTAGAGTGTTTGCTTAGCAGGCACGAAGCCCTGTGTTTGGCCCACTGTACCATATAAACCATACATGGTGGTGAATGCCTGTGACCCTGGCACTCAGGAGGTAGAAACAGGAGTTCAAGGTCCTCCTCAACCACACATGGTGGTGAATGCTGTGACCCTGGCACTCAGGAGGTAGAAACAGGAGTTCAAGGTCCTCCTCAACTACACATGAGGCATGAAGCCAGCCTACAACAAGAAGGTCGGGGATGGGCTGAGGAGGGCGAGGCTGAGGCCAGGGACTCAGATGTTAAGGCCCCCACCACATGAACCTACAAGTCAGGCTGGCACATCAGGAGGGGCAGGCCTTGGGATGCCAGGGCGTGAACTACAGGCCTGACTGGTCCTGCAGCTGGTAGCCAGCCCTGCCCTGAGGGCAGCCCTACTCCAGCATTGAGAGGGAAGCGGGCTGGAGTCTCTGACCTCTGACCCCAGCATAACCCTTGACTCTTTCCTCATTAACCCCCATCATGACCTCTACCTTTTTCCTCTCTTCAGGGGCCTGATTTCCCCTCACCATATGTAGCCTCAACGGCTTCAGGTCATGAGGATGAGCCCCAGGCCGGGGAAGGTGAGTAGGAGGGTGTGTGGGGAGTAAAAGACATGGAGGCGATCCCAGGCAGGCTTGCGTGACCCCACCGCCATGTTCACGTTCCTCTTCTCCTACCCCTACTACATCGACCAATGGGCAACCCGGCCGTCACTGGGGCCTGAAGCTAACAGGTGACTAGAGGTGTGAACAAGTCCCTGCAGGTTTGCTTAGGGACACACACAGGTGAGGGGCTCTCTCAGCACCTTGTGCCCCACTCCAGACCCCGGCCGCAGGGGTGTGCAGGTGGCAGAGACCGACACAGCGCTGGATCCTGAGCAGAGGGTGGAGCAGGAGTCCTGGCCCTCGGCTGCCCAGGTAGGCAGTAGGCGGAGTAACCAGTGGCTGTTCTCAACACCAGGAGCGGATTCCAGACCGAGAATGGGCCTGCCCCGGGGACGGGAACCGTGGGTGACACCAGCACGGTCCAGGGAGGTCCAGAGAAGCAGAGGGTGCCCCTGTCTCTTCTCTCTCTCCAGATCCAAGCGACCTCCGAGATCCAGGAGAATGGGGAAGAGGCCCCGGGGCTTGGCCCTTCCCTGGACCGCATGCTCAGCAGCAGCTCCTCTGTGTCCAGCCTCAATTCCTCCACGGTGAAAGACTAGGGAGGGGCTGGGCGGGGTACCCAGGCAAGTCCCGCAGTGGGAAGCCTGCCTGGGACCCTGACCTCCCATCCCGCTCCGCCCTGCCCCGCCCCGCCCGCAGCTGAGTGGCAGCCTGATGAGCCTGTCTGGGGAAGCTGAGGCTGGAACCGTACAGGTGCGAGGCTCCGTGCACTTCACGCTGCGCTACGAACCCGGCGCGGCCGAGCTGAGAGTACAGGTGATCCAGTGCCAGGGGCTGGCCGCTGCCCGGCGTCGCCGCTCCGATCCGTGAGTGCCGCCTACCCTACAGGTGGGCTGCAGGTGGGGTCCTTGCCTTGGCCTTGGCCTCAGTTTCCTCCTCTTCAAAAAGGGCACGATGGGAGCCATGCTATTGGGAGGCATGCTAAGATGGATTCCTGTTCATTGATTAGCACCTGGCCACCATGCTGGGTGTGTTCTGGATGATGGTGGAGGACGTCCCCAAAACCAGACGAAGGCTCTGGAAGGGCCCCCTCCTTACCCCCAGCCTTCGCCTTTCTCACCCAGCTACGTGAAAACCTACCTCCTCCCAGATAAGCAGAATAAGCGCAAGACATCGGTGAAGAAACGGAATCTGAACCCGATCTTCAACGAGACTCTGCGGGTGAGGCAACAGGGGTGTTCCCCCTCCCCCTCCCCCGCAAAAGAACAGGGTGCCCTTTGCAGCAGAGTGAGTGGCAGGGTCTGCCTGGTTAATCCTGCTGGTGGCTCTGGGCCTTGTTCTCTGAGGAGAATGACAGAGCCGCCTCTGGTTAGTGCAATCCAAAGCCTGGCAATCTGTCTGGTCGGTGATAGCGAGACCCCAGTTAACCCAGAATCAGGAATCCATCCTGAAAGAAACAGAGAGACCAGCGCTAGTCAACAGGCATGCCACAGCCATGCCAGGGTCTGCAGTGTACTCCACTGAAACTAACCTCCTGTCTGTCCCCAGCACTCTGTCCAGCAGGCTGACCTCCCAGGCCGGGTGCTCAACCTGTCCGTGTGGCATCGGGAAAGTCTGGGTCGCAACGTCTTTCTGGGAGAAGTCGAGGTGCCCCTAGACACGTGGAACTGGGACTCTGAGGCTACCTGGCTCCCCCTGCAGCCCCGGGTAAGGACCGGTATGCAGTCACAGACACCCCTCCTTTACTCCACAGGCCACCAAGTGCCGGTAAACTGTTCCCCAGAGCCTCACTCAGCCTCATACAGGTTGTTGCCATTAAGCAAGGCTTGCCATCCAGGGTGCCCCTTCCTGGGGAGCATTGCCCCTGGGGCTCCTCAGTGGAGGCCCCGTCCCCGACACCTTTCTCCTCCCAGCTGCCTCTGGAGACACTACCCTGTGGCCTGTTTCACCGATGGGTCCGCTCTCCGTCTTTCCAGGTTCCCCCATCTCCAGATGACCTTCCCAGTCGTGGATTCCTCTCTCTGTCCCTCAAGTATGTCCCTGCCGGCTCAGAGGGTAAGTGACTGCCCTGTGAGAGCCGACTTGGGAGACCTGCCCTGTGAGGTGGTGGTCTGAACTGGGGTGTCCCCACAGGAGGAGGACAGCCTCTGAGTGGGGAGCTTCACTTCTGGGTAAAGGAGGCTCAGGACCTTGTGCCACTGCGGCCAGGATCGCTGGACACTTACATACAATGGTGAGAGGCAGCGTGAGACATCATTCCTCCTCCTGCTCCCAGCCTCTGACCAACGTATCCAAGATCGTCAGCCTGAGCAGGAGTTGAAGTGATCAGCTGGGCAAAGCGTTGGAGTTAGGGACTGAGGCTGTGCATGAGTTGGTGGGGTGCTTGCTTAGCATGCATGAGGTCCTGAGGTGGAACCCCACAAACTGCATAATCTAGGAGTACACACAGAGAGATTAGTTCAAGGTCATCCATGGCTTCACAGGATATATAAGACCCTGTCTTAAAAGCTTAGGTTAAGCATGGCGGCATGGGGTTTTAATCCCAGCACGTGGGAGGCAGAGGCAGGTGGATCTCTATGAGTTCCAAGACAGCCTGGTCTACAGAGCCAGTTCCAGGTCAGCCAAGACAACAGAATAAGGGGGTCAGGGTCTTAGTTAGGGTTACTATTGCTGTGATGAAACACCAGGAGCAAAAAGCAAGTTGGGGAGGAAAAGGTTTGTTTGGCTTACACCTCCATGTTGTGGTTCATCACTGAAGAAAGCCAGGACAAGATATCAAACAGGGCTGGAACCTGGAGGCAGGAGCTAATACAGAGGCCATGGAGGGTGCTGCTTCCTGGCTTACTCCTCATGGCTTGCTCACCCTGCTTTCTCATAGAACCTAAGACCACAGGGTGGCTCTGCCCACAATAGAATGGGCCCTCTCCCATCAATCAGTCATTAAGAAAATGCTCTGCAGGCTTGCCCATAGCCTGATCTTACAGAGGCTTTTTTTTTTGAGACAGGGTTTCTCTGTATAACAGTTCCTCAAACTCAGAGATCTACCTGCCTCTGCCTCCCAATTGCTGGGATTAAAAGTGTGCTAGCACCACCTGGCATGGAGGCATTTTCTTAATTGGGATTCCCTCCTCTCAGATGACTCTAGCCCAGTGGTTCTCAACCTGTGGGTCAAAATATCAGATATTTTTATTATGATTCATAACAGCAGCAAAATTACAGCTATGAAGTAGCAATGAAATAATTTTATGAAGTCACCACCACAACAAGAGCTGTATTAAAGAGTCACAGCTTTAGAAAGGTTGAGAACCATGCTCCAGCCTGTGTCAGGCTGACGTAAAATCAGCCAGTACAGCCTTCATTCTGTGGAGGCCGTAGGCCACAGCACTTGCTGTGATGCAAAGGCCAAAGGGCCCCTTCTTGGAACTCTTGGAAGGACAAGCTATGTAGCTTGGCCCTGAACTTGTGATTCAGGGGCTGGTGATTGTAGCTGTCTTTCAACATGCTGGAGACTGGACTGTCTCAGAGGCACACCGAGCAAGTGTTCTACCCCTGAGCTACACCCTCAGCCCCGTGGTTTTCAAAGTTAGGACTGGACTGTCGCAGAGGCACACCGAGCCAGTGTTCTACCCCTGAGCTACACCCTCAGCCCCGTGGTGTTCAAAGTTAGCTTTGGAGAAATCTAAGCATTTCTGGGTGTTTCCTCACTCTTGAGGAGGACGGAGGGAAGCCACTCTGATTTTGGGTTCCCGTTCCGGCTTTCTGTTACTGTACATCAGAGTAACATCGCTGTACGGTTCAGAAGCTTTGGAAACCAAGGGGGTGGGTGGGCAGGGAAAACTGAAGATCATAGGGCCAGGAAATAGCAGGATTGTATTTCAAACACCTCTCTCTGGGATCCCATGAACAGTTGCCAGCTTCAGGAGAGAAAGCTAAGAAAAGATTGGTGCAAAGGTCCCAAAACAGAGAGGGCTGGAGACCCGGGCTTAGGCTGGGGCTGGGGGAACATGGGCCCATGAAAAGACAGGACATGGTGACTGACTGCTTAGCTAGGGAGTGTCCAAGGGGTGGGTCACTTAATAACAGTCCTCATTTACCTGTCACAGCTCAGTGCTACCTGATGACAGTAGAGCCAGCCGCCAACGCACAAGAGTGGTTCGAAGAAGCCTCAGCCCTGTGTTCAACCACACCATGGTTTATGATGGCTTTGGACCTGCTGACCTTCGCCAAGCCTGTGCTGAGCTCTCCCTGTGGGACCATGGGACCCTGGCCAGTCGCCAGCTGGGGGGCACACGCCTCAGCCTTGGTACAGGTGAGCAGAGCAGGGCCCTGTGTGTATGTGTGTGTTGTGTGTGTGTCTGTGTGTGTGTGTGTCTGTGTGTATGTGTCTGTGTGTGTGTGTGTGTGTGTCTGTGTGTCTGTGTGTCTGTCTGTGTGTCTGTCTGTGTGTCTGTGTGTGTGTCTGTGTGTGTGTCTGTGTGTCTGTGTGTGTGTGTGTCTGTGTGTGTGTGTCTGTGTGTGTGTCTGTGTGTGTGTCTGTGTGTGTGTCTGTGTGTGTGTGTCTGTGTGTGTGTGTCTGTGTGTGTGTGTGTCTGTGTGTGTGTGTCTCTGTGTGTGTGTGTCTCTGTGTGTGTGTGTCTCTGTGTGTGTGTGTCTCTCTGTGTGTGTGTCTCTCTGTGTGTGTGTCTCTCTGTGTGTGTGTCTCTGTGTGTGTGTGTCTCTCTGTGTGTGTGTCTCTCTGTGTGTGTGTCTCTCTGTGTGTGTGTCTCTGTGTGTGTGTGTCTCTCTGTGTGTGTGTGTCTGTGTGTGAAACAGCCCTGGCTGTCCTGGAACTCATTTTGTAGGCCAAGTTGGCCTTGAACTCATAAATCTGCCTGCCTCTGCCTCTCAAGTACTGGGATTAAAGGTGTGCACCACACTTGGCTTCGTTTCCCTTTTCTAAACTGCCTTCAAAGAGCTGGGGTGATTGGGTACAGTGCATGCATAATCAGGGACCAGAATGCTTTTTTAGGACCTGGGATACCCGAAGTGACAGTACCCTCCACCTTGGCTCACCCACATCTAGGCAGCAGCTATGGCCTCCAAGTGCCCTGGATGGATTCCACACCTGAGGAGAAGCAGCTGTGGCAGACACTTCTGGAGCGGCCATGTGAGTGGGTGGATGGCCTTCTGCCCCTCAGAACCAACCTGGTCCCCAGGGCATAGCCCTGTCAAACCCCTCTGTACCCCCACACAAAGCACAGCCATGGCTGGAGTCAATAAAGTCTGTTTACAGAGCTACTGCCTGTTCAGCAGGGGATGAGGCCCGAGTGGTAAGGCATAAGCATGGAAACAGCCCAGGAAGTGAAAAAGGGTCACTCAGACATTAGACGAGGGGGGGGATGGGGTGGGTGGGTACACCGCTCCTTGGACATGCCCTACCCCACATTCACACTTCTGAAGTTGCCAAGACAAACGGGGTAGTGAATGTTCTGTTTAATAGTCTTTGATTGTATGCAGTGTCTCTGGGTGTCTCCCTCTTTAGTCCCACCCACTTGGGTTGGGCCCAGGGCCTGCAGTTGCTCCTGGGTGCTGGGACAAGAGTGTCAGAAGCTGTCTGTGTCTTCTCTGGTCATCCATCCACGTCTGTGTGTTTTGATCCATCATTCGGCCTCCCGGGGGCCAGGGGTAACTGATGTGGCTTCTGCTCGCTGTGCCAAGATGGCTCTCCAAATTCGGCATACCATCCCTCCCCTGGGGACATCAGGGATCAATGTAACTCATCCAGAAGAAGGCCTGTGCTCTCTCTTCAGGAACCACTATCCACAGGAGACCTTGGTTCCCCTGTGGTTTTCAGGGAGCAGTCAAGGCAGGCTCACAGCTGTATGCGTGTGCATGTGCGTGTCAGATATTGCTACCAGGTGTGCATGGTTCGTCCCTACAAGGCCCAAGATGTACCTGATTTTGGTGTAGACGAGGTCATCCTGGGTGGCACAGGTGATCAGGGTCTGAAGGGTGAAGCTATGTCTCAGGAGCTGGGAAAGATAAAGTTACAAAAAGATACAGCCAGAAACTAGGGTTCCTGCTTCTTCCAACTAAAATTCTCAAGCAGGTTATTTCCCCTTTTATGGCCTCAGTTTCCCCGTCTGTATAATGAGAGGGGCATACTATGAGCTCTTCCAATATGGAATGTTTTTGCAGCAGGGAAAAACCTTTGAAGAGCTGGAAGACTAACTGAGCGGCCACCGTCACCTGATGAGGGTCAGGGACAGCCAGCACACACTTGCTCACCGTTTGGATAGTGGCTGGGTCTACACTCAGTTCCTGTAGCCATTGTACCAGGCTCTGGTCCTTTGAGAGAGTGGCTGTCAAAAAGTAAGGTGATGAGTCCTCTGTGAGAAGTGGCCTTACACTAACCCACTCAGTCAGGTCTGCTCACCTGGGGGCTCTGAAGCCCGGGCATACGTCCTGGCCTCTGCATGCAAGCGATGTAGGGCCTGGTGCATCAGGGTCTGGCACTCCCGTTCCTTCTCAGCCAGGACACCTCGAAGCCTGTGGAGGGCAGAGAATGGAATGACCTGCGTGTTGAAGCCTGTTCCGCTTGTTCGGGTGATTCCAAGAGGCTTCACCTATCGGTCTCGGCTCGCAGGAGGCCCAGCTGCACAGTCAGCGGAGGAGGCCCCTGCTCTGGCGGGAGCTGGCTCTGTGGCGGCTGACTCTCCGGCGGTTTCTGCTGGGACTCTGCTTTACTCCACTCCTCTGACTTCGGTGAGACTGCTTTCTTCTCCACCTCTGCCAATTCGAGTGGGTTGAGCTCAAGGTGGGAGTGACGCCCGTTTAGGACCCCCAGACGGCCCGGGTGTTGGAAGGGACCAAATAATGCAAATCAGGGTCCTTCCAGATTCACGAACCCCGCCTCCAACCAGCCAAGTTTATGCCCGCCACGCCTCGAGGGTCACACCCACCATAGCCACACCCCCACCTACCCGCATCCAGCACTGCCAGCGCCGCCCTGACTGCGCGGCTGAGCAGCGAGTCCAACACGAACATCCAGTGTGGGCGGATCTGGCGTCTGCGGAGGATCCGCTTCACCTGGGGAGGGCGGGAGGGCGCGGCTGAGATAGTTTGAACCTCAAACAGAGGTGGGGCTTGAGTTGCAAAGGCCTAGAAAGTCTGCAGCAGAAAGGTGGGTGGACTTGGGGTCAAGGGCAGGATTGGGAAACCAGGACTGGACAGACGTGCTTCTTCCCGGAAGTCATAGAATCCTGGAACATCAAGTCTTGGCAGGGAACTCACGTCCTGTTATTGCATAGCCCTAACTGCTAGGAAGCTTTCTCACCGCTTCTGGAAATGCGAAGAGCGGCCCATTCAAAAGTGCAGGCCCCAGGCCCTGGGCCCGCAGCTGAGCTTGCAGGGCTCGCAGCTCTTGGGCCAGCTGCCGGCGGTTAGGTGTGTGGATTTGTGCCCCGAGGCAGCGAAGCAGCTGTTCCACATGATTCTTGCTGAGCCGAGAATCCTAGGAAGAGAGGGGGCGTCCGTGGGTATTTCCATCCGCAGTCAACCTAGAAGCTGGCCATCAGTCCTTATCCCCTAGCCTGACCACCAGGGGGCGCTGGGGCGGGCCGCCCACCTGTTCCTGCTCCAGTAGATTCTCTGCCAGTGTGGGCAGCTCCTGTTCCAGCACCGCGGCCAGCATGGCCCGGCGCTTGCTCTCCTGATGCAGCAGACTCAACCCCGAACTCTCCTCGGGAGACGCGGGTTCCTCGGCTGCAGGCTCCTCAGGCACACTGGGCAAAATGAGGAGCATCAGATGGAGGGTGGGCAACGCCATGCAGCCACCTCTGCTGCGGGGTTTGAATCCTGGCTCTTTTTTTTTTTTTTTTTTTTTTTTTTTACTTTTATGCCTACTTCAAGGGAATAGATTAAGAAGCCCGACTGGGGGTGGACAGAGTGAACCCAAAATGCATCTGGGAGAGGGCAGGAGGCAATAGATGCTGTCCTTGTAAGTGGTCAGGGTGTTTGGGACCCAGGGAGGCCTTTTCTGGAGGAAATGAATAATAGGGAGGCAAAACCAGATGAAGGGAACCCATTCCAGGACCCCAGACACTCACCGGAGCTGCCTGGTGTCCCCATAACTAAGGCAGCGCTTTGGGGGACTGGGTGGGTGCTGAGAGGGTGCCTGGGGTCTTGGGAATGTCTGAGACTGGGTGCCTGAGTCCGTTGAAGGACTGGAGCCAGTGGAAGGGGTGCCTGAGGGAGGAAGCGGCCATCAGTCTTCCCACCACCTCAGAACTTGTTCTGCCCTCCACGGTGTCCTGCCCTCCACCCTCATGGCACCTGGGGGCTGGGGTGTATGACGAGGAGAGCTGGGGCTGCGGCTCCTCTTCCCTGGCTGCAGGAAGGGGTCGCCCAGCAGCTCTTGGGCACTGGCTCGGAGGTGGGGATCTGGTTCAAAAGTTCGGAGGAGGAAGGCTTGGGCCTCAGCTGACAGGGAACTGGGCACTGGTGGATGCACCTTGTACATGCCCACCTGTGGAGATGGGGCAGTAGGGTAAACTCAAGATTAGACGCCTTCAAGGCCCTGTCTGGCTCCACCTTCCCTCCACAGGCCACACCCCAGAGGGACTCGCCTGAAACATAGCAGCCTGAGGGCTCCCTAGTTCGTGGAAGGGTGGCCGACCAGTGGCCATCTCAATCACAGTGCAGCCCAGAGACCAGATGTCAGCTGCTTTCCCATAGCCCCGTGGGCCCTGGTCAATGATTTCTGGGGCCATATACTGCAGAGTCCCTAGAGCATGACAACAATGGCATTCAATGTCTCCACCATCCTCTGGCCACCCACCCCCAGGGTGAACCCGTCATCTCAAGTCGTGGGCGTCAGATCCTGTCTTGAGTTTCACCACCCACCTAGGCTCCATCACCCGACTTCATCCTCCATCTTTAAGCTAGACTGCATGGCGTCCAAAGACTCCCATCAGATACAGGACAGTTCCGGCTTGCAAATGATATTGCACCATCCTCCCTCCCCCAACTCTACCAACCCCTCCCCCCATACACTCATTGCCTTCCATCCATTTTAGGTGCCAAATGCGTTTTCATCAGTTTCCAACCTTGGGGTCTAGATTTTATCACCTCTCCCTGGATGTAGTCACCGGTTCCCAGACTCCACTCACCATTAGATCTGTAACTCTGTGCCCAGAAGAAACTCCATTCCCCAGAAGTCTCCACGGGTTCCACACCTCCCACACACACCTTCCCCCATTACCTGTGAAAGTCTCTGTGCACGGTGTGATGCCTGCCAGCCGCTTGGAGGTGCCAAAGTCAGAAATCTTAAGCAACCCACTGAAGGTGTTGATCAATACATTGTCCCCCTGATTGAAGTGGACACTGGGGTTGGCCTCTGAGATGAACTAAACTCCCCACCATCCTAAGACCCAGAGTTCCTGGGAATTACATTCTGAACCTTCCTCTATTGTGTCCCCCCCCCTGCAATCCCATGCATATGCCCTTCTCAGAGTTGGTGTCTTGCTCTGACTTCATACAAATGACTTTTCATCCTTTAAGGGACCTCTCTGATAGCGCCCCACCCTTTGCAAAAGTGTGCAGTCTCACTCCACGTGGCCAGCTTCAGTCTGGCACAGTGTTTTCCCAGCAGGCCAAGTGGGCCAGCCACAGGCCTAACCTTGATGTCACGGTGCACAATGCGGTTGTCATGGAGATAGCTGAGTCCCTGCAGGATCTGACGTGTGTAGAAACTAATAGTACTCTCGTTGTCCTTTAGTGGTCCCCACACTGACCTAAGCAAGGAGGATAGGCTGCCTGGGTAGAGACAATCCAAGTTAAACTGATCCCACTTACCCCGCTCCCACGCTTCTGCAGGAGGTCCAGGCACGCCCATTCCCATGACCCAGGCTCCCATCACCAAACCCAGTCTCTAATTCTAGCCGACACACACCCACGCTAGACTTCATTTCCCCTTAGGGTTGACACCCCTGTCTGGCTCCATTCCTATGCCCCACACCTCAGGTTTCACTTCCCTCCCACGCAGGGCCGGCCGGTACCTCCAGGCACTTCCTCCATGAAGATCTTGAGGTAGCCACCCTGGCTGGCAGAGCCCAGATAGCGCACTATATTCTTGTGGCGTAGTCGTTTGTGAAGAGCAATCTCTTCATGCAGGGGCTGGGAAAACCTGAGCATGTAGAGGAGAGAGCAATAAGCAAGATGTGAGCAGAGATAATCTCCCGCAATCCTGTGCCAGGAGACCATGCTCCCAGAAACACTTTCTACACTTCCATCA